GAAACCCTGCAGAATATCCGAGTGTTAACACAATTTCATTTGAATCTGCAAAAGGAATTAAACATCGTAATCAAAATATTTAAATAGCCCTATATAATACCACTAGCAATCCCATTTCGTATTTAGGACGTCCTGATTTCAAATCCTGCCTCGGAGACCGGAAAAAAATGTTTTCGTGGCTTTCCTCAGTCCTTCTAGACATGTGATAGGATGGACCGCGACTGCTTCCTTGCAAACTTTTGCATCTCTATCCTGGCGATTAAGTAATAGAGATTACGTACAATGACGGGATATGAGGCAGTATTAGCCTCAAGGAAAGGTTACTTTGGAGACCTAGACGCAGACCACAGGATAATATTAAAATTAATTTTAGAGAAATACGGCATGGAAATGTGAACTGAATTCAACAGACTCAGTACAGGGCCCATTGACCATACATCGAATTATAAAAAAACTTGGAAACTTTTTGATGTTCTCTATTAATTGTTGAAGAAGATAAATACAATGTTGATGAAAATAGTAACAGCAATTCAATGCAATTCAATTCATTTATTAGAGTGTTTGACAACAGCCAAAAAGGCCAATAACAGCCAAGCAATAATAATAATAAAATAAAATAAAATAATATAATACATATTAAAAACAAAATGTATCCCGGAAATAGCTGCTGCCCTATGTACCTTAGGGACAAGGTCTGTCTCGGGTACATAGAAGTACATACCCCATAAAGTGGTGAAGAGATGGGATAATAATAATAATAATAATAGGGAAACATAATAACAAGAACAATCGAAAGTTAGGCTATTGTTGAGTGGTACATTTGCACTTCTGCTTCGTATTCCACAGTCCAAACTAGGCCCGGGAATGTGCTATCATCAGTCCCTCAAAAAGCTTAGATATTGCCTCAAAATAGGCCACATCAGTTTCCTTCCATGTCATTTCTAACCTATCACTCACAAATCACCGTACCATTCGATTCTATGTAACTACTGATGTTGAAAAATCGTCATTAAATAAATTCACAAGACGAAAGATGTTAGAAATCCCAGCCGCCGGATTGCTGTGACTTCTATATGTTTTGAAGTGGGCATTTTCTAGGCTAGATTTGTCGAGAAATAATTTAATTCCACGACCAAGCACTAAAACGACAGAACAGAAAAAAAATAATGAAGTCTACAAACGATATAAGAGATCACGAAATAGTATTAAGAACAGAAGAAACTCAGTCCAAATGTATAACTTTAAATCTATAAGGAAGAGATAAAAAGTAAGTCTAATTATAAGTAATGTTATAAAATGTCCGTAAATGAAATACAGTCTTTGTTAAAACATCAGCGTCCTTGCTAATAACACTGGCAACAGGAATACGTCTAACTCAGAGACTAAACTTAAAGTTATGATTTATGATAATGTAGGGTAGTCTCTTATTATTCTGGTAGTTATACGTACACTGACAGAATCAAAGTAAGATTCAGTATAACTAAAATCCTCTCAAAATTTTGCAACGAACACCAACGAAAGACCTGCTAATAGCATATAGAATGAAAACGGCTTCGACTGTCTATTGGTCAGACAGATATGAAGCCAGATGACAACCAGAGGAAAGTCCGAAGTTGCTGGACAAATGTTACCCGTAATTAAAATTTAAAAAAAAATTACTCTGCTGTTATTTTACAAAGTGAATATCCCTATTCGTTGTGTAACTACGACCAAATGTGAATTTAGGCCTGTAATACTATATTAATATTTGTATGTAGTAAGTACAAGTCAGTGAGTATTTCACTGAGATTGTACCTTTGTTAACTTGTAGTGGATCGGTGAATACGTTTGTGGAGGTGATCGCCGACTCGGACCTACGCTGTTCAGCCATTTCCTACCCTCCCGAATTCTTCTCTTGAAGCCAAGTTGATATCGATTTTCGGTACGGTACTTGCACTTCGTTCAGTACCGTATGGCGACGTGGTAACTCAAGAGAGTCTATATTTCACAGAAACCCATGCAGACCTTCTTATCTGCAACTCGGTGGAAGAAAACATTTGCCTAATCTTGTCGATTTACTTTAATCATAAGAAGAGTAACATATATGAGCCCTGATACAAAATACATAAAACGGAATCGATTCCGAAAATACATTTTGCAAGGCCGCAGCTTCTAGCCTTCTTGTATCTTCTCCCTCTCGTGAAGCGCATTCTTTCTTGAACAGATAATAAATAATACCATATTTTATTAAACGAGTAGTTTAACGTAGATTACTGTATTCTGGGAAGGTTCATTATCGTGTTCACAAGAGTTTCACTGGTCCCTATTCCGGTACATAAGTGATGTTCATATCCTCATGTATAATTCCTTTAAGATCCATTTAACAAGAGAAATAGGGCAATATATATCTTCCGTAGAGTTTTAACGTCGTGTAAAACCTTACAAAATAGTCAAAGAGTTATGTCACTGTTCAAGACTCTTCGATTTAGAAGACCGAAGCAACTTTACGAAAAATTTCAGCCACGTTTGTCGGTGTCACATCCGTGACTCAAACCGGGCACCCACTGACCTGGTTTATAGTCAGAAGCATTAGATTTTGCCCCACTTTACTCTCTGGTTTGTGCACGGGAAGTTTTTACTCTCACCACAGCTCAACAGTAGGAAAACATTATATTGTCTGTCATAGGCAGAGTTCTTTTTGAGAAGCTTATAGTCACCCAAATGGTCAATAATTTCCCCGTCTTATATTTATCCCCAAGGTTCATTTACTTTGTTCACAAGTCTGTTACTGCACCGTTCTTGTGTCCATTTTAATATTATCCCCCATCTGTATCTCGGTCCCCTCTCGCCCCTGGCAATCACGTTACCCAATTATTAATTTAATATCATAGACCGGTGACTTCCATTTTGTTCGTTACATTATTATTGGCGAATTGCAAAGGCTTCAATCTCACGAAGGTTGCGACGTATTATCGAATGACGCGCTGCAACCCATGGTATCTTCTTAGTCCTTCCAGCAATCCTTACAACGCGAGATTTCAGGTTCTCAAGACGGCGAG